AGTGTAGAGACAAGCTAGAATCGATAGAAGGAGAAGAAGAATCGAAAACATATGGTGATTTAGGTTACAAATGTATGGGAACAAAAGGTCGATACTTAACCGAATCCCTCATATTCGCTGCTCAATGTGGTGGATCAGTAGCATATCTAGTGTTCATAGGAAGAAATTTGTCATCTATATTCAATTCGTATGGATTAAGTATGGTCTCTTTCATCTTGATTCTGGTTCCGATCGAAGTTGGATTGTCGTGGATCACTTCTTTATCGGCGTTATCGCCTTTCAGCATCTTTGCGGATATATGCAATATCGTAGCAATGTGTTTCGTTGTGAAAGAAAATGTGGAAATGGTGATTGAAGGAGACTTTTCGTTTAGCGATAGAACAGCTATTTCGGCTAGCATTGGAGGTTTACCGTTTGCTGGTGGAGTTGCGGTGTTTTGTTTTGAAGGTTTTGCAATGACGTTGGCTTTAGAAGGTTCTATGAGGGAGAGAGAAGCTTTCCCTAAGCTGTTAGCTAAAGTGCTTGCCGGGATAACGTTTGTCTATGTATTGTTCGGGTTCTGTGGTTATATGGCTTACGGTGATGAAACAAAGGATATTATCACACTCAACCTCCCAAATAATTGGTCGGCCATTGCCGTGCAGGTAAAAATTGTGCTATTGCTAATGTTTTAATGCTTATATAGACTTATGTTTCACGCATTTCATAATGATTATAGATTCATATGCTTTGTTCTTGCTTATAATTTTTCCTTGGGAATTTAAACAGATTGGCTTATGTGTGGGATTGACCTTTACATTCCCGATCATGGTACATCCGCTTAACGAGATTATAGAGCAGAAACTGAAGAGGATCAATTGGTTTCAAAAGCATAATCATCAGTACAGCGACGAAACACGGTCAGTCTCCAGATATGTAATCTTCATCACAAGGACGCTTTTGGTGGTCGGACTGGCGGCAATCGCGACATTAGTCCCGGGGTTTGGCACATTTGCATCTCTTGTCGGAAGCACTTTGTGTGCGCTCATATCATTTGTGTTGCCAGCTTCTTATCACCTCACGCTGCTCGGTCCATCGCTAAATCTGTGGAACAAATCCGTTGATGTTTTCATCGTGATTTGCGGGTTGGTCTTTGCTGTTTATGGTACTTACAACACAATCGTTGGAGTGTGAAAAGGAAAGTAAGTGAATCAGTGTAAAAAGAACACGACAACTGAAAGTTGCTCAGATCCAAAAAGAAAAAGAAAAAGAAAGACTGTATAGATGTTTTACATGGATCTGAAATCGGGAGATAGTGAGAGAAAACAAATTGTTGTATGATTATTTTTAATTTGTTTAATATTCGGAAGCCTACTAATTGGTTCAATTTTAATACTACATTGCCTAGCATAGATCCGACATTCGTTTCAGTGGCAATATCATTATCATGGGTTAATTAATTAAAGATTGTAAAAATGGAAAAGTAGGGAGAAAAAGGGTGACGCGCCAGGTAGGGGTCGAACCTTCGGCCTTCTGCTTAGGAAACAGACGCTCTATCCACTGAGCTACAGGCGCAGGCGTTGACCCGAGTCCGTGTCGTTTTTTATTGATACCACATGTCACATTCAGGTCGTGCGAGCCGAGTCCGATGTTCATTTTGAGTTTTTGATATTTCTCAATTTACACTCTTAAGCCAAAAACTAATCTCTCTCTCGGAATCTAGACCAAGAGCTACATATATACATATGGCATGTCGATGATTTTCCAAGAATCATTGAAAATTCGTCCAATGTAAGGCTTATTCTCACACTCTAACAAGGCTTGGAACAATAGTAGTTTCATTACGCATCATGAGAGGAAGTTAAAATATGAGCCAAAATCAACAAGCAAAAGAGCAGAATATTAAGATATTTTAAACATAAGAACTGTACCTGAAAATACATAACTCCTATTGGAGAAGCAAAAAACCCAACGCCCTCCCAAATCCAAGAACGGGGCATTGTCATTGTCTTCAAAATGATAATTTTTGCAGAGAGACAGGAAAAGAGAGAGTCTCACACAATACCATATTAACAACACCAGAGGGAATAGTTTTGAAGCAAAATAGACCACACTTGCTACCGTCAGGGCCAAAAATCAAAACCCTTTTCCTGAAAGATATATTTCTCCATTTCGGTTTATCAAATCTAAAACTGAGACTCTCTACACCCTACCCTCACACCAAAACCACCCTTCAGATGGATGGCCACGTCCCTCTCCCTTTCTCCTAATTGTATATTTTCACCGGCTTCTCATATGCGTGCCGGTTCTACAAATACAGCATTCAAACACAAAAGATTAACACAGACTACAAAGAGAGCTTCTTACAGAGAGAGGGAGACAGAGAGAATATTCTTACCTGATTTGCAGCATAAGCCCTTTTAGGAGCATTATCAATGTGCTCCAACCCAAGATACTGCTCCCACGCTCCGTACACATCTCTTCTCTGTTTCCATTTTAGTTTCCCAAATATAAAATAGAGTTAGATCTCGAATTTCTCTTTGAGAAGAAGTAAAGATAATAAAGTTGATTACCTGAAAGCGATTATAAACAATATCTGTGTCCTGCAAGTAGTCGGGACGTCCCATTGAAAAAGAAGCAAACTTCCACTGGATAAGAAAGAAAAAATGCATTAACAATAATCCAATTCTGCCACCAATAGTAACACAACAAACTTATTAACATTTGTAGCTATTACCAAATCAGACAGACAGACATACCTTGGCAAAGTCTTCATCAGGGACATGGAGTTTCTTTTGGATACGGGCCTTGATTTCTTCTAAAGTTTCACCTTCGTGGATTACCAAAAAGAAGGGCTCACCGAAATTTTGTACTTGCTGCAGAAGAAACAATGGTTAGGAACGTTTTCGACACATCCAGGACACCAGACTCTCGAATAACTTTTAAAAACTGAAGCTTAAACAACCACCTGATTTTGTCCGGCCTCTTTTGTAAAATGATACACGTGGATTAACCGATCATTGGGGCCTATGTTCTTCTCTTCTTCAGGTATCTGAGATTTCACAAGATAGCAAAAGAAGAATGTCAGCATCTTAGACGTCATTAACCAGCGCAAAACTTGCAATTATATTTGACTTTCAAATAGCCTACACAACTAGGTACAATGCGCTCATCTTAGAGAAATTATCATTTCAAGTGATCTACGCCTCTGAAAAGGACCCACTAGCGTAAACAGCAAAGAAATGACCTCCTTCAACCATAGCAAGACTATCGCATCAATTTAATTTTTATAAAATATGAAACTGAAAACGAAAATAGGCAAAAAGTTGAAAGAAACCAGATCAACATCCACATGGATACAAGAGATAAGTCAAATAACAAAATTAAAAGGCCACAAAATACAGAGATAGCTTGGACAATGAAAAAACTAGAGAAAAAGGTGAGGCCATATACCTCCTCTGCTCGTAAAGTCCAGTACTGGTCATTGATATTCTCAATTCTTTCAGTAGGTGGAAAGATCTGCAAAGCGTACCCAAGCACATTGGATCAAAAATTGCCAAGTTCCAGTGCCAAATTACATAACACAGAATGTGGTACGGTCTACAAGCCATCAATTTAAAATAGGAAAAGAAATTACAATGTAAAAGACAGTAAAATTAGCCTATTACCTTGTAGATCTTGTGGAAAAACACCTCAAGTAACCTCAGTTCTGCATCTGGATGAGAAAGCTCCACCTGATGCGCAAGTGTAGATTTTATTTTAAACCGAAAACATTAAACTAGCAATTATATGGAACATAGTTCATTAAAAACAAGCCCTATGTGGCCAATACAGAGACTGTATGCAATAATATAACAAACAGAATTGCAACTACATTGCTTGACCCACCTTTGTTTTAAGTTCGTTAATAACATCACCGACAGTACTCTGCTTAGGCAGCCTGATATTGTGGATTACCACCTGAAATATAATAGTTATACGGCTTGAATAGTTTATTACATGGAGCTACGAATCACAAATATAAGTTCAACACGTACTTCGTCCTTTGTGGCAGGATGAAAAGCTACTTTTAGAGTCTTAAGACCTTGCAATTCTGGAAGAGGAATGTCCAGAACTTCATAATACAAAATGTCAGACGTCTGAAAAAAAGAAACACTAGTAATAAGTAAATCCGTTTTGGAATAGAAAGAAGAATATATAATTTCACTCAAACCTACGTCAATTACCTGATTATAGTGAACTAACATATCTGAAAGATGATCTACTCCACGGTATTTGATAGGCTGAGGCTTGGGTTGCTGGGAGTAGCAGTTGTGAGATGTAAGCCTAAGTTTTGATGGATCATCAAGGCCAAGCTTTTGAGCCACTCTTTCCACAACATCATCATAAGTGTGCAGCTTTGACCTGAAAGTAGAAGCATTATGAATTTCAAAACTGCAATCAACGACAGAAATTTGTTCATAGAGGTACTTACAACTCCAGAATAAACTCATCTTCCTTTGGTTTCTCCAGAGTACGAAAACGCACCAGCTACGAAATAACAAACCACATAAATTAGTTTCCACCAAAATTTTCCAACAACTATTAAAAATTTGCTACTAAGACACGAATCACGGAATCGTCACAGTTTGACAGGGCTATGATATTTTCCAACAGCACAACAGAAGAGAATAGTACGTAGTATCTTCAAATTTTCCACTTCAAGATGCCAAACATAATTGATAAATGCTTATTTGAAACTTAATGAAACTATAACAATTGTTGCGCTACTGTTAGTATAAATCTAACATGACACTCTAGCCCACTATTGCCAACAGTGCAGAGTCTAATTATACCTCTCGATTCTGTACATACTCCAAAAACGATGGCACATCCAGGTATTGACAATCACTCTCCTGGATAGAAAGTGGTTTCTGATAGCAAATGATATCCCCATCTTCAATCTGAAAGCGAGAAAATTATTTCAAAAGAGAGAGACCAAACTATGATCTATACAGTTGATACAATGAGAGCAACATTACTTGACACAGTCTGAAGGAAATCTTCTTATCCAGATGTTCGCACATTACACAAGGTTCAAACTTTATTTCCTGAAAAGGGATTCGAAAAGAAACTTAATGGAATGTTTCATGGCCATAAATGATGGAAATGTAGAATTAAAAAGCACCAGCCCCTACCTCAAAAAGTTCTATTTCCTCATCAGGAGCAAAGCCAGCCATTTGATTCAGTTGCCCTACTATATCCATGGGCTTACTGGAACTTTTCACCATGAGCCTGCCAACATATCTGCACCATAACATGATGAAAGATACAAATTTCAATGGTAAAACAGAAAAAGGGTGACAACTTCCCCATTCAAAAGAAAATGGAAGAAAAAAATAGTAATTTCAGAATAAAAATTCCAAGACCAGTATACTATATTAAAGTGAAAAATTGGTGAATACTAAAATTACCTTAGTACCGCATTCTCAGGGTCATAGAGCTTAAAGAAAAGAAGAATATCTTCAGCTGATTTTTCTGGGGGAGGAATAGGACGCGCATCCTATAAAATTCAAGAAATTAGTAAGACTACTTCCTTTCTTCCCTTTTACCAATTTCGGAGTTTAAGAAAATATTACCGGTCCACGCTCTATTTCCAAAAACAGCTTTAGTTCAGCATTGCTTGCCTTGTTAGATGCTTCTCTTATTTGTCCAACCTACAGCATCATCTTCAAAATTAATTCTTTCAAAATAAAGGCTCTATAGTATAAGAAAACAAGCTGACTTATGAATATACAGTATTTTGACAGGGAGATAGCTGGTCCACTAATGATGAGTATGAGATCAGAAAAACGTATGAATCCACAGAGAAAATGGCAAACTTTCAGTTCGTGAAAACAAAACGAAAAAATACCAACGCATTGACCCAAAAAGGTCCTACACCTAACACAAGAATAATCGCGACTAGTAATATGTCTTACAGCAGATAATTATACACAAAAAATTCAACAAGTAACGGTTTTAATGTGTTGTACATCCAAAATGTCTAGTACACAAATAATCCCAAATGAAAGAGGCAAACCATATGCATGAAAGAATTATTAAAAAGAAGAAAGAAATAACTACCGTCTGTAATTCTTCATGAGGTAATAGGGGACGATTGGGACGATAAGTATGGTTTTGCCGCTTTGCCCAAATCCAATACCGCTGTAGTT